GAGGATGGCCCAAAGATGTTCTATTGGGTTCAAGTCTGGAGACTTGCTTGGCCAGTCCATCACCTTTACCCTCAGCCTCTTCAGTAAAGCAGTGGTTGTCTTGGATGTGTGTTTGGGGTCATTGTCATGCTGGAACACTGCTCTGCGACCCAGTTTCTGGAGGGAGGGGATCATGCTCTGCTGCAGTATTTCACAGTACATGTTGGAGTTCATGTTTCCCTCAATGAAATGTAACTCTCCAATACCTGCAGCCCCAGACCATGACATTCCCACCATCATGCTTGACTGTAGGCATGACACACTTATCTTTGTACTCCTCACCTGGTCGCCGCCACACATGTTTAAGGCCATCAGAACCAAACAAATTAAATTTCGTCTCATCAGACCATAGGACATGGTTCCAGTAATCTATGGGCTTTGTTGACATGTCTTCAGCAAACTGTTTGTGGGCTTTCTTGTATATAGCCTTCAGAAGAGGCTTCCTCCTGGGGTGACAGCCATGCACACCAATTTGATGTAGTGTGCGGCGTATGGTCTGAACACTAACAGGCTGAATCCCAATCTCTTTAATCTCTGCAGCAATGCTAACAGCACTCCTATGCTGATCTTTCAAAGTAGCATTTGGATGTGACGCTCAGCACGTGCGCTCAGCTTCTTTGGACGACCTACCCGAGGCCCGTTCTGAGTGGATCCTGCTCTTTTAAAATGCTGGATGATCTTAGCCACTGTGCTGCAGCTCAGTTTCAGGGTGTTGGCAATCTTCTTGTAGCCTTGGCCATCTTTATGTAGTGCAACAATACGTTTTTTAAGATCCTCAGAGAGTTCTTTGCCATGTGGTGCCATGTTGGAACTTTCAGTGACCGGTAAGAGAGAGTGTTAGAGCTGCACTACAAATTTGAATACACCTGCTCCCCATGAACACATGGGCAAAGTTACACTAATGAGTCACATGACATTTTGAAGCAGTACTCAATTTACACATTTAGGGGTGTAGTTTCTTAGGGGTGTACTCACTTTTTAGGGGTGTAGTTTCTTAGGGGTGTACTCACTTTTGCTGTCCCATGAAGAGATATACTTAAATATTTGAAGAAATGCGAGGGATGTACTCACTTTTGTGATACACTGTATATATATATATATATATGTGTGTGTGTGTGTAATATATATATATATATGTATATATATGTAATATATATATATATATATATATATATATATATATATATATATATATATATATATGATAGATAAGAAAATAATGATTTTTATATAGTGTAATTATTCCTAAGTTTCATTTTTTTACCTTTCATCTTTTATAAATGGACGTACGATTAAATTTTTGTCTGTGTATTCCAAGCCTCACTCAGTTTGTTATGTGCCATGCGTGATACACGCTTAGGCGATCATGTATCTTTGAATATATATATATATATATATATATATATATATATATATAAATTGGGATTTATTTTATTTATTCTAGCTCTACTTAGCGTATTGAGCATTCTACGTTTTAGCTTTATTACTCGCTTGTCGCTTTTTTTTTTTTTCTTTGGACTCTCGTCCAAAGTAAAAAAAACCAAGTTCTAGTTCTTTCCTTTTTTAATTCTAGTTCTAGTTTTTCTTTCTTTTTTTTCCATTTTTTTTTTCCTCGGTTTTTTTTTTTTTTTTTTTTTTTTTTTGAAACTGTCGTCGCACTCTGTGCACCATTTTTCTGTTATAAGTTCTATCGAAAAGAGTGTCTAGTTTTCCACAAGAACTTCAACACTCTAAACAAGTCGGTTGTCCAGCGGTTTCATTCTAAACAGGACTGATGGATCGCAATTATTTGGAACGTCCATCATATACAGAGTCAGGGGAAAGAGACTCCATATTGAAAATTATTTATAACTTATATCACCACATTTTCATAAAACAAAATATAGTGGAATCCCTTTCAGCCCCGCGTTCCTGAACAATTTTAACCTTTCTGTCTGAGCCCCTGAGTCAAAATTCGCAAATTATTGGTATGTAATATTTCACGATAGATATAAAAAATAGTTACAAGTATTTACCCACAGTTCAACTGGTGGCTAGACATTACGTCATTTTTCTCTACCGACGGTAAAGCAGTGGTCAGGGATCAAAAGGTTAAAGCGGTAGAATTTCATTGCTAATTTCTGGTTTTATTTCAGAGTGGTAAGTGTAGGCCAGAATAGCACAACGACTGACACTGCATATGTGTGCTCAGCTAGCATCTCGTTACGAAGTTTGTCAGTCCGTGGTACTGAATTTTACCAAAAACAAAATAATTTCTATGCTTGAGGATGACTGAATGTACAGTTGAAAGTACTTGCGAAAGACGTTATAGTTTGTAATTTTAAAAAACAAGGATCATAATATTCATCGAGTGATTTGTATGTTAATGCACCTTTAAAATTTTGTTTGCGAAAGGATTTCGCCATTTTATATCATTAACTTTACTAATCTGCTTTTTGTATGAATGATTCATTGTAATATATATATATATATATATATATATATATATATATTGCAAATAATTTCCATCCCTGAAGATTGCTGAATGCACAGTCGAAAGTACTTGCGTATTTAAGGAAGACCTAATACAGTTTATAATTTAAAAAAAAAACGAGTGATTGATAGGTTAATGCATCTTTAAAATTTGTTAGCGAAGTGATTTCGAACTTTACTAATTTACTTTTGGATGAATGATTCATTGTAATATATTGTTATGATCCGGTTCCTTGTACCACGGTGATAGTCCAAGGTAGAACCAATAAAGAAGAACTCGAACACAGGTATGGAATAACACAGATATATTACAAACAGGAATATATACAGAGAAGTAGAAGTGTTAGTATGAACAATCAGGTTTAATAGAGAGAACAATGTTGTCTCGGTCAGTATCACTATTCCAATGTCTTGTAGTAATTATCTGAACGCGACTCTTTTTCGGACTGCCTCTGACTCGACTCTTGACTCGACTTGAATTACTGACTCGACTTGAACGACTGACTTCACTGACTCGAATTATTCCTGAGGCGCAGTATTTATTATGGAATAGTCCATTATTATTATTATATATAATATATATAATATATATATATATATATATATATATACATATATATTATTACTATTTTTATTATAAGAGATTATAATAAAACATTTTAAAATTGCAACACAAAAGGTTTCCTGTTTCAATGCTATGACTGTATTCCTTCATGCGATGGTAAGTAACTGGTAATTAAATGATTTTTAAGGAAATTTAAAACGAAGTGTTACCTCTTTTCCGAAAGTTAAAAAGGTTGAGGTGGATGATTTATGTCGCTGACATATTTTCCGCGATCGCCAATGATAGACTATATTCCGATTTATCATGAAATGAAAAAATAACTCATGCACCTCCCCCCCCTCTTTAACTTTCGAAAAGGAGGTAAGACTTTGTTTTTAAATTTCCCTAAAAATCATTTAATCATCAGTTACTTACCATTGCCTGAAGAAGTACAATCATAGTATTGAAACACTGGGAATTTATATATATATATATACAATCTGTATCTTTTCGTTATAATTCTTAGTTCATGTTGAAAGTTATTTATATATTATGAGAATTTACCTTAAATTCAATATAGAAAAGCTGGGAGGATATATAAATAACTTTTGAAGGAAAATGTTCAAAGTTTTTAAAACAAATGAAAATTATTTCCAATTTTGCTTAAATGCTTCTTTTTGTTGTTTTTTTTTTCCAGATTTTGTATGAATTTAAATTGTTATCATTTGTGTCAACCGTTAAAATGGCCACATCACAAGTCGTTTTGTGTATTGCAATTTGCGAAGTGTAACGTTAAAATGATAAATTTTCAACATCTTCCTATCCCGTGTTGTATGCGTTTCTGTATTCTAGCATTTGTTTTATTAAATTTTCAAAATAACGTATTTCTTTTTTAATTTATATATATATATATATATATATATATATATATATATATATATATATATATATATATATATATCATTTCATCCACAACGCAAGAAGAAAGGCATACAAAATATACAACTGAAACAAAAATAATGATATAATCCGCAAGAATAAATTACATGAAAACAAATGCATAATACTACCGACCAACTCTGTCACGTCCACTATCCAGAATAATCTATCCCATCTAAATAATCTTAAAATAGTCACAAACACTTCTAAAACTATTATGGAGATGCTCAGATCCTCAAACACTAATAGCAATTTCCCAAGCAGGCATATATATACATATACATATATATATATATATATATATATATATATATATATATATATATATATATATATATATATATATATATATATATATATATATATATCGCACATTGAGTACTGGTGTTAATAAAATAGTCTTCAATGTAGAATAACAGAGCTGTAATAATAAATATACAATTTTTCCCCAGCGGTAGAACGACTCCTAGTTGCCCAAAGCAATCTTCAGAAAACTCTTTTCAGTCAGCACCCGAAGATTGCGTTGTGTATGAAACTCAGAGTTGTGCTACCGGTGAGGAAAAATGAATATTTATTACACACACACACACACACACACACAAAAACAAACCAAAACATATATATATATATATATATATATATATATATATATATATATATATTATATATATATATATATGTTTTTTTTTTTTTTTAACTTGTGGGTTCGTGCCTTACTGGGTGATTCATTGCTTTATCCTTATACCAATGTCTGTTTAAATAAAAAATGGCTTTGAATACTTTGGCATTGTTCATCATACACACAAATTAAATAGACTGAGAAAATAATTCCTAACTACAGAGGCGTGCCAAATTACGAAAGCTATATTTTGGTCCCCCGCACAAAAGAATTTGTAATAGCCCTCCTCTTCTTGATTGCTAGATATGGAACAAAAAATTATGAATGAATAAAAATCACTATAGTAAAAGAAAAAGGAACACAAGAAAAGAATTAAACGTTATTTTTATGCTTGTAAATTATTGCGACTCTCTAACGTTTTGTTTCCTATCGAAATTCCTAACCATCAAATCATCATGCGAATGGTATTTTTTCATATTATTTATAGAAACGGCCAGTAGTTGTTGCTATAACTGCCGGCCATTTTGTTGTGATTGTTATAACGGGATTCTTTACTGTCGCTCTCTCTATTATCTTCTTTGTCCCTTTGAATTAATTGAGAAGGAAACAATTACAGCGGCGTTTGGCGTGTGGGCAAACAATCTGCGGCCTTCCGATCCAAGATACCCGACGTTTTTGCGATTGTTTTCGCTTTCGTATTTTTCACTTCTTTCTCTCTATCTTTCTTTCTTTCTTTCCTTCTTTCTTTCTTTCTTTCTTTCTTTCTTGCTTTCATTTTTTTCCCTTTCTTACGGTTTCCTTTATTTGTTTCTTTTTCAGTTTTGCTTATTTTTTTTCTTTTCTTACCACATCTTCTTTCTTATTTTCTTCCTTACTTTCTTATTCCATTCTTAATTTTTCTCTTTTTTTCTTTCTTCTTTTTTTTTTTTTTTTTTTTTTTGTTTATTTATTCCTTTCTTACGTCTTTCTTTCCTTTCTTTTTCTTTTTCCTCTCTGTCTTTTTTTCATTCTGGTTTGCTCGCTTGGTTCTGCCATTTTTTGTCTCTTATTCTTAGTTACTTTTATTACTTCTTTCTTTCTTTCTTTAATTTCCCTTTCTTACTTCTTTCTTCTCTCACCCCTCTCCCTTTCTATATATCTAACTCAATGTATTTCTATCTATCTATCTATCTAAATTTATATTTACCTATCTGTTCATATATATATATATATATATATATATATATATATATATATATTATTATTATTATTATTATTATTATTATTATTTAGCTGTTATTTTTAATTGATACCCGGATTTGAGTAGACGCTCCATTTATTAATTAAACAGTATATTTATTTTCCTCTACCGGCCTAAATATTCGAGAAATCTTATTTTAAAAAAAGATATACGCCCACGGTACGATTCAAACATGCGTCCCTCTAGCCAGGAGAAACAAGCGTTAGATCCGACGTGTATTAGACTGTCTCAGTCACAAAGTGCATCGATGATCAGCAAAATTGTATAATACCTTATCTCTATCTATAAAACGCTGGATGTGTGTGTGTGTAACGAATGCACGGACGCAATTTTCGACGGATTTGCACCAAAATTTACATGCACATGTTCCAAGTTAGCGGGAAGGCCAAGACCAACCTTGCATTTCCCAACTCCCATCCATAGTGGAAATAATCGATTTGTTCATGCTTCTACGGCAGTTTTCATGTGGTTTGCGGTCATTTTCTACTGGTCAGAGTGATAGCCTATAGCTGGCTGCCACAAATAGATTCTATTGGCCAGCGTGAGAGCCAACAGCTGTCTGACACGAATGTTAACTAGCATGCTAGCATGCAAAAAAAAAATAGATAGCTGCATTCGTCACAAGTGGGAAAAATTTTAATCTGCATGGCACTTTACTCCAATTGGCTTATTCGCTTAGTTAAAATCAACGTTAATTCTGATTCTGCAGAACTGGGTTGGGTGTGAAAAAGTATTTGTTTTTAACATTCTTTTTTTTTTCATTCAGTTTTTCCAGTTACGAGTCCTTTTTTAAAGCTGATCGTTTTGTGTTCATTTTGTTTAGTTCTTTTTTCGTAACAGATTTAATGTTTAGTATAGAGCTTAGAAAAAGTGTGAGATAGGCAAGAAGTAAGGCATGTAGCAACATCAGCATGGCAAAGGGCACTCCTTTAAAGGCAAGGAAGGGCAAAAATATTTTAAGCCAAGTGATAGCGATTGCTGTACGATTTTTGAATCAATCACGGGCAACGCCGGGCCATTTTCTTCAGACTTTCGAAATATACATATCTGCTCAGTTTCGTATCCGAAAGTAATCAGCTATCTATCGCAATCTGTTCATATCTATTTATCGATCCTCTTTCTGGATGGAGGTAGAGTGTAAAGTAAGGGGAAAAAACAATTCAGTTTGCTACCGCTGCACCTGCCTGGACAAGGATTACGAAGATGTTATGCTGCCCATGAGTCAAGATCCCTCTTTTAGGGTAGAGGTAGAGTGCAAATGAAGAGGAAAAACAACACAGTTTGCTACCAGTGCAGCTGCCCGGACGAAGACTACGAATATATTATGCTGCCCATAAGTCAAGATCTCTCTTTCAGGGTGTAGATAGCGTACGAATGAAGAAGAAAAAAACAATGCAGTTTGCTACCAGCGTAATCGGCTGGACGAGGTCTATGAACATATTATGCCGCCCATATTTATCCCTCCTTCAGCGTGGAAGAAGAGGACAAAGAAAGATGAAAAATCAATACAGTTTGCTACCGGTGCCGTTATCTGGATGAGGACTACGGACATGTTATACTGCCCCTAAAACAATATCACTTTTTTAGGTTGAAAGTAGAGTGAAACAGACGAGTAAAAACAACAAAGGTTGCTACCGGTACAGCTGCAGAAGTTGCCGGAACCTTATGCAACATCCCATCCAACCGCCTTAAGGCCTCAAATCAGCATTTGTGTAAGGTTTGCTGCTTAGCCTTCTCTTCTTTAGGAGATATCCGCAAGCTAGTAAGGGTTTTCATTCAGAATATCCTTTCTCCTAGACTGTCCACCAACCAAGGCATGTGTGTCAAGATTCCTTAGCTATATAACCGATAACTAGATGAATTTATAAATTTTCCAATGTAGATATATATTTTGTTCAATTGGCGTAAGCGATTTACTAAGTGTAGCTTACAGGTAACACAAGGCCGCAACTATACAGCCGCCAATGAGGATGAACCTCGCTACACAGTCGTAAGTGATCTAGCGAGACAAGCTTGCTAGCCATTACGACAAGTCAATGTACTAAGTGTAGCTTAGATGTAAGACAAGGCCGCAAATGTAGAGCCGCCAATGAGGTTGAAACTCGATACACAATCGTAAGTGTTCCAGTGACACAGGCTTGCTATCCGTTACATCAAGTCGAGTTACAAAGTGGAGCTTAGATGTTACACAAGGCCGCAAATATAGATCCTCCAATGAGAATGAAACTGGCTACACAGTCTATCGAGACAAGCTCGCTAGCCGTTACATCAAGTCGTTGTACTAACTGTAGCTTAGATGTAACACGAATCCGCAATTATAGAGCCGCCTATGTGGTTGAAACTCCATACACAATCGTAAGTCATGTAGCGAGACAAGCTTGCTAGCCGTTACATCAAATCGAGTAAGTGTAGCTTTGATGTAACACAAAGCCGCAGCTAAAGAGCCAACAATGAGGATGAAACTCGCTATAAAGTCTTAGGTGATCTATCGAGACGAGTTTGCTAGCCGTTACATGAAGTCGGTTTGCTAAGTGTAGCTTAGATGTAACACAAGGCCACAACTGTAGAGCCGACAATAAAGATGAAACTCGCTACACAGTCTTAAGTGATCTATTGAGACAAGCTTGCTAGCCGTTTCATCAAGTCGATTTACTAAGTGTAGCTTAGATGTAACACAAGGCTGCAACTATAGATCCGCCAATGAGAATTAAAGTCGCTACACAGTCATAACTGATCTAGAGAGACAAGCTTGTAATCCGTTACCTCAATTCGAGTTACAAAGTGTAGCTTAGATGTAACACCAGTCCGCAACTATAGAGCCGACAATGAAGATTAAACTCGCTACACAGTCGTAAGTGATCTAGCGAGACAATCATGCTAGCCGTTACATGAAGTCGAGTTACTAAGTTTAGCTTAGATATAACACAACTCCGCAAATTTAGAGCGGCCAATGTGGATGAAACTCGATACACAGTCATAAGTGATCTATCGAGACGCGCTTTCCAGCCGTTACATCAAGTCGGTTTACTTAGTGTAGCTTAAATGTAAGACACGGCCGCAACTATAGAGTCCCAAGGCATGTGTGTCAAGATTCCTTAGCTATATAACCGATAACTAGATGAATTTATAAATTTTCCAATGTAGATATATATTTTGTTCAATTGGCTAGCATGATTGTCTAGCTAGAGTGTCGTAAGTGATCTATCGAGACAAACTTGCTAGCCGTTACATCAAATCGATTTACTATCTATAGCTTACATGTAACACAAGGCCGCAACACTATAGCCGCCAATGAAGATGAACCTCGCTACACAGTTCTAGAGAATCAAGCTTGATAGCCGTTACAGCATGTCGTTTTACTAAGTGTAGCTTAGATGTAATTCATGGGCGCAACTATAGAGCCATTGATGTGGATGATCTCGTTACACAGTCTTAAGTGATCTAGAGAGACATGCTTGCTATCCGTTAAATCAAGCGTAGGTTAGATGCGTCGGAGGACCGAAACTATGGAGCCCTTAGTGAGGATGGAATTCATCACTCAGTTGTAATTGATTTAGAGATTTAGGAAATGAATAATCTTACATAGCTGATCGCTTGAGAATACAAAGTGTTGTCAGCTTGGATATGCAGTTGGTGTAATGGATAACGGCTCGGAATTGTTAATCGGAGAGCCGAGTTCCTATTGCTGTTGTCATATTCACTTATGCGTAAATACCTTTGTAAAAGGTATGAATCCCCCTCCAGCTATTTTTAAGAGTTGTGTCGCTAAACCATTATTATCTAAAAAAAAAAAATTCTGGCTTTAAATATCCATCAAGTTGCTGATAGGCCATAAAAACGACAAGCGAGGCTGAAAAAATACAGAATATCTAAATAACTCAAAATAATTTGTTTAATTCTTTTCTTTTTATGTGCCATAACCTTTCAAAACGTAGGCGATCATGGCTCTCCGCCTTCCTCTATCCCTTGCAACAAGTTCCGTCCCTCTTCTACCTCCCCAAGACTACGTTCTGTCATCCACTTGTTTAAGCCCGCTCGGTATTTCCTTCGCTGTTTTTCCTCGTCTCTCTTTCCCTCTATTCAACACGTGAGTATCAGATTCTCCAGGCCCTCCTTCCTCATTATGTGTCCCAGAAACTTCATCTGCCTCTTCCTGATATTAAGTATAAGCCTCCACCTTCTTTGTCTCTCTTTCCCTCTATTCAACCCGTGAGTATCAGATTCACCAGGCCCTCCTTCCTCATTATGTGTCCCAGAAACTTCAGCTGCCTCTTCCTGATGTTTAGGTATAAGCCTCCACCTTCTTTGTCTCTCGTCCCCTCTATTCAACCCGTGAGTATCAGATTCTCCAGGCCCTCCTTCCTCATTATGTGTCCCACAAACTTCAGCTGCCTCTTCCTGATATTAAGTATAAGCCTCCTCCTTCTTTGTCACTCTTTCCCTCTATTCAACCCGTGAGTATCAGATTCTCCAAACCCTCCTTCCTCATTATGTGTCCCAGAAACTTCAGCTGCCTCTTCCTGATATTAAGTATAAGCCTCCTCCTTCTTTGTCTCTCTTTCCCTCTATTCAACCCGTGAGTATCAGATTCTCCAGGCCCTCCTTCCTCATTATGTGTCTCAGAAACTTCAGCTGCCTCTTTCTGATATTAAGTATAACCCTCCTCTTCCTTTTTTGTCTCTTTCCCTCTATTCAACCCGTGAGTATCAGATTCTCCAGGCCCTCCTTCCTCATTATGTGTCTCAGAAACTTCAGCTGCCTCTTTCTGATATTAAGTATAAGCCTCCTCCTTCTTTGTCTCTCTTTCCCTCTATTCAACCCGTGAGTATCAGATTCTCCAGGCCCCTTCCTTCCTCATTATGTGTCTCAGAAACTTCAGCTGCCTCTTTCTGATATTAAGTATAAGCCTCCTCCTTCTTTGTCTCTCTTTCCCT